GAGTCTGAAACCTGTGCCTACTTTAGTGTAGTTGAGATGCAATGTGTTAAAGCAGGGGCACTAAAGGACACTATATAAACTAGTTAAAGACAGCGAATGTTTTTTTTTTTTTTTTGGTGTTGTGAAATGATTTCCGGCCATTTTTTACTTAATTTTCGGGTTTTCAACTGATAACTAATGCACATGTCATGAATTTAACTCAAACAACTTCATTTTACTGCCGACAGAATCGGCTTTTGATGAGAAGATTGAGCGGTTTCAAAACTCAATTTAAGATTGAGTTTTTGGGACCGTTTTTTCGGTCCTAAAAATCCCTGAAAAAACCCAGAGATGAAGTCTATAATGAAACAACCTCATCTTGCAGGATTCGAACCCCATTCTAAAACGTGAAAGACACAATGATGCACTAACTACCGTGCCATCAACAATCCTCTGAAAAAGTAGTACTTAGCCAGCAATCCTCTTTATCTTTTTTTAATCCTCTTTAATATTAGCCAATTACGAGCATGATTTACAAAGTTTTCTTTTTATAGGACGACAACAAGAAGCTGATGTCCCAGACATGTGAAAAAGATCGCATACTAGCACAGCTACAGCAGGAGAAACTTACGTTAGAGCAAATGCTCAAGGAGGAAGAAAAGCAATACATCTTAAAAGCTGAAACATTTCAAGCTAATATCATGCAGTTGACAAATGAAATTGATGCACATAAAGCCAGGTAAGTAGAAAGGTATGTTGGTAGGAGAGTGGTTAGTGGGCTCGGTTCCTGCATGCAGTTCTTTGAAGAGTGCTTTCAGTTTGAGCCAACTAAATATATATATATATATATATATATATATATATATATATATATATATATATATATATATATATATATATATATATATATATATATATATATAATAACACTAGATTAGTTAGGGGCTAGCTCTTTATATACTGAACCCCCAAGAAGAGCAATTTAGAAGTAACGCAGCATTTCAGCCCTTTTAATTGAAAAAACTATATAACTAGGAAAATCAATTATGTATAATTCAAGATCAGTAAACTCAATGTTTTTAACAATAAAAATGTTTTAAAATGTTAAAAATATTAACGCCCGTATTCTAAAAGCTCACTCACACTCAATGAGTGGAGGTTCAATCTGAGCTTCTCTCGAGTGTCATTCTGAGCTTCTCTCGAGTGCCCTGGAGGGCTAGTGTCAATATCTACTATGTGACTACTGTACTCGCCATTCAGCTATTCAAAAACAGCATTGACGCTCAAGAGAAGCTCAGATTGAACCTCCACTCATTAAGTGTGAGTGAGCTTTTAGAACACAGGCGTAAGTTTGTTGATCTTGAATTATGCTTAATTGATTTTCCTGGTTAGTTTTTTGCAATTAAAAGGGCTGTAATGCGCTTTAAAAACCATCATTCAGAAGGCTGAACTGTGTCTTTAATTAGCCATTCCGAAGTTGATGAGTGGACTGGGGACGAGTGTTAAAAAGTGCCCAAATTAAGAAATGAACCAAATCACTAAAAAGACCACCTCAAAATTAGAAAGTATACAAAGTTTGAAGACGTTTACATGAATACCCTTCGAATAATAAGCTTTCGAAAATTGTGAAATTTCTGATTAAAAGATTGTTTTTGGGACGCGCGTTCCAAAAACAAAAATTACAATACATTTCATAGTAAATATCGGATTTTCGAAGCTTATTATTCGAAGTGTATTCATGTAAACGTCTTCAAACTTTGTATACTTACTAATTTTGAGGTGCTCTTTTTAGTGATTTGGTTCATTTCCATTCTCGTACCCAGAGCCCTTCTTACGCGCGGTGCGACGAGGGGCTCTGGCCAAATCCATATTCCGAATTGGCATCTGATTGGCTAGTTCTAACACCGGACATTGTTTTCTTACCATGTTTTTATGGTATCCGGTTATGGATTTGGCCAGAGCCCCTCGTCGTACCGCGCGTAAGAAGGGCTCTGGGTACGAGAATGGTTCATTTCGTAATTTGGGCACTTTTTAACACTCGTCCCCAGTCCTCTCATCAACTTCGGAATGGCTAATTAAGTCAGCTTCAATCATCCTCGTCCCCAGACCCAAGCTCGGGCGGCCCTCACACTGTGAGGGCCGCCCAAGCTTGGGCCTGGGGACGAGGATGAGCTTCAATAATTTGAAATACTTTCATTAGGATCAAAGAGCTAACGGACAATGTAGATATGCTGACAAAAGAATTGGAACATAAAGAAAAGGATTCAGGTGGATAATAAAACCTCAGTTTTCATCACAGATACGGATGGCGGTTCATGTTTTGAGTGTTGACTATCTTCATATTTAGACGAGCTCAAGAACAAAACTGAGAGGCTGTTGAAAGAAACGGAGGAACTGAAAGAATCGAATGTGAGCATCAGAATTTTAAATTATTTATACTTACGCCTATATTCTAAAAGCTCACTCACACTCAAAGAGTGGAGGTTCAATCTGAGCTCCCTTGAGTATCAGTGTTGTTTTTGAATAGCTGGAGGGTTTGTGTCGTACCTTACGTGATTTCTCACCCTCCAGCTATTCAAAAACCGCACTGATACTCAAGGGAAGCTCAGATTGAACCCCCACTCTTTGAGTGTGCTTTTAGAATACAGGCGTTAGCTCCGTCAGGAGGTCAACGTGTTTTCGCCTCCTTTGTCAGCTTGTTTAAGCCTGGTTCACATATGCCTGCGGTATGCCTGCGACTGTATCATTATGGCTCTACTTGCCGCCGAAATACCGGCAAAGTTGAACTCAAGTCAACTTTCCCGGCCTACCGCCGATGTAACTGTGGCACTGGAGGCAATCGGCGAACAAATATTCACATAATTTACGTTTTAAGCTACCACCGGCATCGTCGCCGGTACGTCGCAGGCATATATGTGAACCAGGCTTTACTTATCTATCGGCAGGATATCCCAAAGTATCAAACAGTAATAGACAATTCCCATTATGGACTAATTTTTTATCTTAGCAAAAAAAGTATATTCCCGGAAAGAGCGTACTAAAATTAGTAAAATTGCAAAGTTTGGTTGCGAAATGTTGTAAAATACTGAAAATGTAGCCTTGCAAAATTTTACAAATTTTGTATACTTGTGTATTGCTGCCACATTTGGGCTGAAAATGGTAGCCAATTCCGCACGCAATACAAAAGTATACAAAATTTGCAAACTTTGAAGGCTATATTTTCGGCCGTATTTTACAACATTTCGCAACCAAACCTTGCAATTGAGTACTCATGTTAATATGCTCTTTCTAGCTGTGGTGATTTATTTGCATATCTAAAATTAGTCTATAATAGGAATCGTCTATTACGATTGAATTTTTTTCTGGCATGTACAGGAGAAGCTGACCTGCTACCAAGAAGATCTGATCAAGTGTTTGCGTGAGCTGGAAGCAGAGAAGAACTCCTTGCAGAAAAAGACTTTAAATTTGACAGAGAAGGAAAATGAATTCAAGGTACTGTTATCGACTTCTCGTCGATTCTTATGAACTAATCTGGAACGGTAGTGGTTCTTATCTGCTAATGAATACTTGCTTTACAGACGGTGCAAGAATCATCTAAGCAGTATATTGCAGAGCTGGAACAAGAAAAAGTATCTTTGGAAAACGATATTGAAAGCAACTTGAAGACTTTACTTGAAAAGGGGGTAAAGCCCTGGGCAAACTAGGAAACATTGTTGCGGAAACATTGTTTCCTACCAATGTTTCGCCATGTTTCCCAGAGTGGGCAAACACTGGGAAACATTAGCGAGAAACATAGGGAAACATCAAATGTTTCTTAAGTTGGTAGGAAACATTTTTGCTTCCCGGGAAGCAAATTTTGTTTCCGCAACAATGTGTCCACGGGTGGGCAAACATGGAAACATTTGAGGAAACATCGAGAATCAAATGTTTCCGCAACAATGTTTCCTAGTTTGCCCAGGGCTTAAAACTACATTACTTTGCACTGGATAGCTGTTCTAACCACGTTCGCAGTCGTGAGAGGCGCATGCTCTAAGACCTCTAAAGGTAGTCGAATAAGAATAAAACGTGTTTTTTTTTATTTTGAAGAGTTTAGTTGAAAATCTACAAATGGATTTAAAAGAAACGAAAAAGAAAGAACAGATGCTGCAGGAAAAGATTGATAAATTAGAAAATCTTCTTCGAGAAGGAAGGTTAGTTTTGAAACAGCAAGAGAAATAAATAAAACATACGAGAAAAAAATACTAACAATAAAATTTTACTTTTAGTCTTAACCAGGACAGTATCACTAGCGATTTTGAAGAAATCAAGGTAAACCAAGAGTATGATAAATTCTCTATCGAGGTATCAAGCCATGATACTGATATTTGGCTCTAACTGAATATAGGCAGAAAAACGAGAACTGCAGAAACAGCTGGAACAGGCAAATAAAGAAATCGAAGACATGAATCTGCAAATAAAGGTATTACTGTCATAAATAATTCCATAGCACGAAGGATTAGATATAATGTCTACACGTCCTCTTTAGGCAGTTCCAACACAAACTTTAACAGGCTATCATTGCTATTCTGTTTCATAGAATTTAAAGAACAGCGAGACACAATTGAAGAAAGATCTGGCCAAATCAGCTGAAGAACGAGAAAAACTAGAGTATGCATCATTTGGTACTGCTATCATCACTATAATTACCAATTATCACTTCCGCCATCATCACCATCATTATCATCACTTCCACCATCACCACCACCATTATCATCACTTCCACCACCACAGTCACCATCATTATCATCACTTCCACCATAATCATCACCACCACCATTATCATCACTTCCACCACCACAGTCACCATCATTATCACTTCCGCCATCATCACCATCATTATCATACTTCCACCATCACCACCACCATTATCATCACTTCCACCACCACAGTCACCATCATCATCACTTCCACCATCCATCATTATCATCACTTCCGCCATCATCACCACAATCAAAACCACCACCATTACCATCATCATTATCATCATTATCATCACTTCCGCCATCATCACCAACATTATCATCACTTCCGCCATCATCACCACAATCAAAACCACCACCATTACCATCATCATCACACCACCATTACCATCATCACCACACCACCATTACCATCATCACCACACCACCATTACCATCATCACCACCATTATCATCACTTCCACCACCACAGTCACCATCATTATCACTTCCGCCATCATCACCATCATTATCATCACTTCCACCATCACCACCACCATTATCATCACTTCCGCCATCACCACCATTACCACCATCATCACTTCCGCCATCACCACCATTACCATCATCATCACACCACCATTACCATCATCACCACCATCATCTGATATTACCACTACCATCAGTATCACCACCACCATCATCACTTCCGCCATCACCACCATTACCACCATCATCACTTCCGCCATCACCACCATTACCATCATCATCACACCACCATTACCATCATCACCACCATCATCTGATATTACCACTACCATCAGTATCACCACCACCATCATCACTTCCGCCATCACCACCATTACCACCATCATCACTTCCGCCATCACCACCATTACCATCATCATCACACCACCATTACCATCATCACCACCATCATCTGATATTACCACTACCATCAGTATCACCACCACCATCATCACTTCCGCCATCACCACCATTACCACCATCATCACTTCCGCCATCACCACCATTACCATCATCATCACACCACCATTACCATCATCACCACCATCATCTGATATTACCACTACCATCAGTATCACCACCACCATCATCACTTCCGCCATCACCACCATTACCACCATCATCACTTCCGCCATCACCACCATTACCATCATCATCACACCACCATTACCATCATCACCACCATCATCTGATATTACCACTACCATCAGTATCACCACCACCATCATCACTTCCGCCATCACCACCATTACCACCATCATCACTTCCGCCATCACCACCATTACCATCATCATCACACCACCATCACCACCACCATCATCTGATATTACCACTACCATCGGTATCACCACCACCATCATCACTTCCGCCATCACCACCATTACCATCACCACCACTTAAACCAGCACTATTCTGCGTATTTCATAGAGCTGAAGTGTCACAATTAAACCATGAACATCAGGAGAAGAAGGATGAACTGGATCAAACGTTAGACAATGAAATGAGTAATGTAAGTCCAAGGAGAATTGTTTAAACAAAGTTGGTTTGAATCTAAAAGAGCAATCATATTGGTTTACCAAAGCAGTCGTTTCCCTAACTGCATCCAGATTTTGTTTCTTATCCCACAGACCAAAGTTTTAAGACAGCAACTCAGTTCCAAAGAGAAGGAATTGAATTCTCTTGAAAATAAGGTAATTCAAAGATATTTAACACTTAAAATAGCTAGGTTTTTGTCTTCGGTAAATGACCACAATGTTTGTCAATTTTAGAACAAAATAATGCAGAATCAACTCACGTCAAAGACAAAGCAACACAAGGACTTGCAGCAAGAGGTAGGGTCATATCGAATGAAGAATTAAACAAGTTTGTGAATCACTAGACGTGCATTGAACATCAATGTCTTAAGAGTAGACTAACATATTCTTATACTTCAGATGAAGACGCTGAAGAATAACTCAACTACACAAACAAAAAGAATCAAAGTTTTAGAGAAAAAGGTGGGTTGTTATGACTGTCCCTGATTCACTCCTTCGTCGGCTGTATTCGCAGGCTAGGTTGTCCCCAACCTGTATCTAATGACGAATCTTATCTGTACCTTGGTGTGATTTAGAACGAAAGCCTGGAAACGGAGATTGAGCAGAAGAACTCGGAGAATGATAATTTACAAGAGGAGGTAAACCTTTCCATCTGCATGCATGCATGCTCTCCATACTGGACATCATGGATAATGAAATGAATGGATAGGACTCTAGCTGACGTAAGCAAAAACAACCTAGTTGCAATCTGTGACGTCACGCGTATTGCAAAGCTCTTCTCAGCATTTTTGTTGTTTCGCTATACATTCCGCTTTAAAAAAGTAAATATTGAAGAATCAACTGGTCTAATTGTTTTAAAAACATGCCTAAGCCACGACAAAGTATTCAAGGTAAATGTTTTTCGTCTTTGTTTTGTATTTTTTTACACTTGTAGCTACGAAATTGGCGTCCTCAATTTTAACGAAATTTGGGATTCATTTTTTACTGTTTAGTGCTTGAAATATTTGCTAAAATTGACTGGGAATACTTAGAGATTTCATCGTAGAATGGCGTAGTTATATTCATTTGCTCTTTGACTAAGATGTTTAGCTGCATTATTGCTAAACATGCCGGGTTTTTTAAATTTGGTTTGCAACTAGGTTTCAACATCCAACCACGCCATCAGCCCATTGGAAACATTAGATCACGTCAGCTAGTTTCCTATCCATTTATTTTATTATCCATGCTGGACATAAACATCCAAACATCACTAATTTGTCTGACTATTGCATTTAGAATGAAAACTTAAAAGAAGAAATGGCAAAGACGAAGAAAGAAAACGCCAAAGAAATAAAAGACGTTTGTATACTAGAAATAAATTACTTACTATTTCAAAGCCATTTGTTTCAATCATTGTGTACAGCGAGATAAGAAGGTTTCTTTATTATCAATACAGCTGAAACAGTTGCAATCAGTCGTTGATAAAGGTGTGGCACACAGCAAGAGTTTGGAAGAAGAAATCAAGAAGTTGCAAGACACCACTGAAAAGGCGTTGAAAGACAAAGATGAAGCTCAATGCAGTTTTGATAAAGATCGAGCTGAATTATGTGCCACTTTGGAGAATTATAAGGTGAGAGTGGATCTACAATTGATTGAGCTATATCTATAGAGCTAGTATATGATAAATACACTGTGAATTGCAATTTAAATACAGGCGGAAAATGAAGTTATTATTGCTCAGAAGGAGAAAGACTTGGAAAAATTCAAACAAAACAAGGAAATAGAAATGGAGAAACAGGTAATCCTCGTTCTCCTCTTATTTAAAGTGGCAAATAAAATATTTTATGATGGGTTCTTACTGTGAATATATGGAACTATATTGCGCTGATCATTAATGTCTCTGAAGATCGTCTGAATTTTTTTTAGGTGAAGAAAATCAAGGAATTGGAGCAACAATTAGAGGATTTGAATAAATCAAAACTCGAAGGCGAGGTACTGTAAATACTAAGCTCTCTAGAGTCTTTAAAGTTAAGATGGTCAACAGAAATAATCTGAGGAAATGTTTTCGTCCTTGCAGAAAGCCAAGAATAAACAGATCATGGATAAAGACGCAGAGATTAATATTTTGAAGGAACAATTGCTGGAAAAGGTCATTAACACCTAAGTTTTTAAACGATTTTTAGGGGATTGTCCACCGTATTTACCTGGTATTCTCAAGTTAAACATGGACATTCATAGTAGAGAAAGTAGGCATGACTCAAACAATTTGGTCTGCGCACACTTTTCTCGAGAAAGGGACATTGAACATTTTAAATTTAGTATATAGTTAATCAACTTTCTGCAGATACTTAATATTCATGTACATAGATATTGTAACTTTTATATATAGTATAGATTTATTGTAACTTATCTTAGATTTTAGGAGGGCCACAGACTTGTCAGTGCTAAACTGTTATGTGTCACCCTCTGTAAATAAAGTTGATTATTATTATTATAATACATCCTCTAGCATGCATCGACCATCCACATGTATCTTCTTCTCTATACCTCTTTATTCCTTCCTACCTTTCTTCCTCCTGTCCTTCCCTTCCTTTCCTTTTTCTTTTTTTCACCATTCCTCAACCTTCCCCAATCTCTCCCTCCCAAAACCTCAACCAAAACTCCTTTATTTTTAACAGGAAGAAGAAACATCAGAAAATGTTGAGATGCAGAGAGTAGCCGAGACTCCCTCACGTGCGGAACACATCGTACCTTGCACCCCCAAAACACCTCGTAGTATTCTCAAGCAGTCTGCACAACCATCGAAAAAACGTAGAGTGGCATTTAGTTATGAGAAATCGAAATCATACTCATCCGATGAAGATGATAAAGCTTATAAGGTAAAGCAAAAGTAACATCGATAATCTGATACCGGTAGCATCGCATGTTCTTCTATGGAAGCACTGGAACAACAAGGAATGATCTTTATTGGACCCCCAGGAGGAAAATTTTAGAACTGATAGCCATTCAGTATAAATAAAGTTAGTTTAGTTTAGGTTTCTTCCTGTAGTAACACTGTATCAATAAGAGATGATCCTTACTGGACCTCTAGGAAGAACATTTTAAAGTTGATAGAGCCATCCAGTATAAATAAAGTTAGTTTAGGTTTCTTCCTGTAGTAACACTGGATCAATAAGAGATGATCCTTACTGGACCTCTAGGAAGAACATTTTAGTACTGATAGAGCTATCCAGTATAAATAAAGTTAGTTTAGTTTAGGTTTCTTCCTGTAGTAACACTGGATCAATAAGAGATGATCCTTACTGGACCTCTAGGAAGAACAGTTTAGAACTGATAGAGCCATCCAGTATAAATAAAATTAGTTTAGTTTAGGTTTCCTGCTGTAGTAACACTTGATCAATAACAAATGATCCTTGCTGGACCTCTAGGAAGAACATTTTAGTATTGATAGAGCTATCCAGTACAAATAAAATTATTTAGCATTTAGTAGTTATCATCTCATCTAAAATGATTTTTATATTCAAATAAGATCTTCAAGCCAAGCGAAAAGAAGACAGTACCACGCAAAGGTACCAGTCCAGCTATTCCAACTAAAGCAGTGAGACCAAACGTTCGACATTCTCCTGCACCGAGCCAAGCATCTGCGCTAGCTAGGAAATCGAATCAGTCTCCTTTCAACAGATCTACTAAAAAGGTAAGTAAAATACTAACGCAGTAATTTTAGAATTAGAATGCGGGGATTTGCAATTGATATGCTATTTCACTATATTCTCAGAACTCGCCTGAAGAAGCGACTCCAGATGATGAGCTAAAACAGTTCAACGAACTATTTCCAGCCATTAATTATCAGCCAGAGGTAAAATGTGCTAGTGTTAAATATTGCTTTAATTTTTAAGTGGACATTCAAGCAAACCCCGAAGACAACAAACAAAACTACCAAGATGATTTATGGCAAAGCTTTCCATCCGTAAACTCAAATCTTCGCTGCAAATATAACAATAATATAATACATTTGGTTTTATTTTTGTTTACAGAAAAAAAGCGTAGCAGGTAAAGGCAAAAAGGCGTCTTTCAGGGGTAAGAAAACACAAATTTCACCAAGGAAAAAACAGCCCGACGTCGATTGGTTTGATAACGACGCTTTCTTTGGATTTGACGGTTAGATTTATGCCATTCTATACATGTTTCATATTAAATATTAATGATTTATGTTCACAGCAATTCCACAATATGTTGTAATGTTTGTGCACACTTAATCACGATTAATCAAAATTTAATACTGTTTAGACAGGAACAATTAAATTATATTCATGCTAAATTATTTATGTTGAAAAATTGAGACATTTTCCGAAACAATTATTTCCATGTATAAATTTTATAAAAATATTGTGATATTCAATTTCAAATAAATTTGATATGCTGTTGTAAGATACAATTGGCTAAAATTATGGCACTGGATAGTCCTAATCAGCGCGCTGCAAACAACGCTTCAACAATTGACTATTTGCGTAATAGACTAAATTTTGATCTAAACAAGTCTAGACAAAAATTTCATCACAGCTTGAAAGAGCATCATTCACAAAATTAGTAATATTCCAAAGTTTCGTTGTGAAATGTTGTAAAATGCGGATAATAGCCTTGCGAAGTTTGCAATTTTCATTCATTTTAGATTACAAACGGGAAATTGGCAGCCCCAAAGGGTATTGGGCTGTCAATTTCCCGTTTGGAATCAAAAATGACTGAAAATTGCAAACTTCGCAAGGCTATATTATCCGCATTTTACAACATTTCGCAACGAAACTTTGGAATATTACTAATTTTGTGATGCTCTTTCAAACTGTGATGAAATTTTTGTCTAGATCAAAATTTAGTCTCTTAATAGCAGGGCGCTTATATATAAGCGCCCTGATTAATAGTAATAATTAGCGCTCGCCTCGATTCGAACGCGCGCAAAACATTCTAATTGTGACGTCATAAAGAAATCATTCCAGCGCACATAGCAGATAACATGCACCAAGACAACAATACCTAAGCTCCATCGTTATTAACCCACGATGAAGAAATACGTTATGAAAAAGAAGATGGAAGAATTACTAAAACGTCATTCTGGCCCAGGACCTGCAAAGTACGCTCTACCTGGGACTATAGGAATAACTACAAGAGATCCAAGACTTCGGCGGAGTCCAGCGTTTAGTTTCGGTCAGCGCAATGAGATACAAAGCGGAGACTGTAGCCCTGGACCGAAGTATGCTATTAAACCTAATTCTACACAGCGTGGGGTAGAGACGGCGCCGAGGTTTTCATTATATAGTAGGCCTGCTGAGCTTAAACCTCCTCTGGTTCCTGGCCCAGGTAAGGAAATCTTAATTAACGTCAGGGATGGATCCAGCATAAACTGGGGGAGGGGTGTACCAGCTCTGATGAGTTGTGTCAGTAATGTGCGCCGCCTGCCCACCAACATACATCAGTACTTGCTTGATTGTTGTTCATAGTTCACTTATCATCATCAATGTTATTACTCAAATTACTGTATCTCATTTTTTCTCTTATTTTTTGGCTTTATCATGAAAAATAGCACCCCCTCTGGCCAACGCTAGGGGGTGCGCACCCCTCCCCCACTAAATCCATCCCTGATTAACTTTATACTGGACAACCCCCTGTTCACAACCCACTCAAATGTCTCTCATTTCCAGGCCATTATCTTCTACCAGAAAGACATTATCCACCTCACGAAACACGCGCTCCTAGTTTCTCGTTTGGGATGCGCACGGAATATCGAAAACGTGACACGAAGCCTGCGCCTAATTCTTACACAATACCCGTGATGATCGGGCCCAATGCAATCAGTATGCCGTCTTCACCTGCATACTCACTGAATGGCAGACCAAAGAGAGGAGGATTTAGCGAGGATTTGAAAAAGGTACGTTCTGAAGTAGATACAATGGCGTACACTCTGCATCTGTCATTTAATAGATCATAGCCCTTGACTAATAAATATACAGAATCAACCCAGTATATTTTATACTTAACAAATATAAAACATTTTCCGTGTTGATATACAGTTATATCAACACGAGTGGAAATTGGGAAAACGAGAAATTGTGTGGAAACACGACGCCCGAAGGGCGGAGTGTTTTCATACAATTTCGAGTTTTCCCAACTTCCACGAGTGTTGATATAACTATATATCAATACGGAAAAAATGTTTTATATTTGTTTTATAATATAGTAATGTCAAAAGCCCGAAGAATAAGAAAAGGCGGAAAATTTCCCGTGTTGACATGGAGTTATATCAACACGGCTCTTAGCCAATCAGCGTTCAGAATTTACAAATGCTATATTATACAAAAATATGTTATACATTTGATCAGATGAAATATCCATGTTATTAGAAAAATAGAGGCTCAGCGTGAAACATAATTAGTAAACAGACGCCCTCTGACCAAAGAATATTATACTAAATATATATATTCTCTGATTGATTTATTTTTCAACTGCAAAGACGCCAGGTCCAGGATCATACAAGGTAATCTGTCCAAATACATATCGAACAAAACAACCCAAGTATTCTCTAAAAGGACGCAAGTTTATGCCAGGAGACAGAACAATGAGACCAGGGCCAGGGATCTACTCACCAGAAAAGGTACGCTGTATATTATACTGACTTAATTACACCAGAACTTACTATACTATTTCTGGGAAGTGGCGCCTTAAAAGCCAGAGGAACTGGTAACGAAGCCCACCAAGGCGTTATGATCGACACTCCTTAAAAAGAGGCGACAGACTCTAAAAAAGAGCGACAAACGACAGCTCCTGACTGGGAAAAAGCGACACATTGCGATTTGTAGGGTCAAAAGTGACAGCAACATTTATTACAATAAAACAAGCGGCAAAGCAGCTACAAAATGAGTGACAAGTGACCTAGGTTACACCTTTGGTGGGCCTCGATAATCACCAGAAGACTATATATAGAAGACTGTATAAAAGACTATATAAAAGACTGTATATAGCTTGTAAATACTTGTAATAAAAGGCCTCTTGAAGAAGAGGTGCCTACGAGCCCTGAAGAGCTACCGTTTTAAAATATTTTTAAATAATAATAAAAATAATAATAATGCCATTGTGAAAAAGGCTGCCTCGCACATCAAAGAACACAGACGATTTCGAATTGAAGCAAATATCTAATTATAATCGATAGATATTCAGATGAATGGATATATTATAGACATAGTGTCAAAATGTTTCTCGTGTTTGCAAAATAGACGACAGAATCAATATTAATGTTTTTATCTCACTCTCTAGGTCACCATCGCCAAAAAATGTGCACCGGCTTTCTCGTTTGGAATGAAACACGCCGCGCACATAGTTCTGCCATTGTAGAGAAATGATATTTCTAGGATTAAAAACCACAACAAACATGTAGAGAAGCATACAACATAAAAAAAGTTCAAAGCAGAAGGGAAATATATGTCCAGATATTTTATGGGTAAATATCTTACAATTTATCATGTCTTAAAATATATTTGCACTTGCTACAAAGCATATCGTTACGTATCAGTTCAAAACGATATAGTAGTATAATAGTAGTATACTGTATAATAGTAGTATACTGTATAATAGTAGTATACTGTATAATAGTAGTATACTGTATAATAGTAGTATACTGTATAATAGTAGTATACTGTATAATAGTAGTATACTGTATAATAGTAGTATACTGTATAATAGTAGTATACTGTCATTTTATATCTACTTGTCAATTTGATGACCATGAGACTGGTACGAATTTAGAACCCAGGGCTTCGATGATGAGGCGCCGTCATTTAACACTTTGCTTAAGGTGGCACCATGCTGATATTCGTTTGGAAAGCAAGCTAGTACTCAGGTTTCATCTGACGAGTCGCTGCTGCTGTAATTTCCAACTAGACTTAGTCCCACAGCAGCTGAAGATACTCTAGCAGTATTATTACTACCAGAGCTCGCAACAACATGTCCAGCGGATGTTTTCCTACCTTCCCCAGTAGATGGTGTTGTCTTCTTTTTAACCAGTGAGACCAGACTGACCTTATTTAATGTTCCCACGCTTTTTTCCCAACTTTTTAATTTCTTTTCACTCGGTTCTGATGTTTTTGCACTTTCCTATATGGTAGAAAATTACCCTCACTTTAACCCTATCAAATAGTACAAGATCGTAGAAATAAAGTTAGTTTAAGTTTCCTCCTGTAGTGACACCAATGTTAAGGGATGACTCTTATTGGACCTCTAGATATTTTGAAGAACTAGACAATGAACTTTTCCCCAAAACAAACCTCAACAAGAAGATCTGTAGCTTTGCCTGTTTGTTCAACATCTTTTCCTGGATGTTGTCGTTTCAATTTTCCTTTAATGCCTTCATCTTCACTATCCGATGAGTCTGACTCCAGACGTTTTTCTAGCCTCTTTCGACCAAACACAGACCTACAAATATAACAAACATTATACATTACATCCCACACAAGAAATAGTGTTTAGAGCATGTTGAAAAACAAGGTGTTACAATGAAAATATTCAATTAGAATCGTACTGGACTAGTTCTTCATCTTCTTCTGCCTGTCTTTCTTCGACTTGTTTTGCATATTTCATGTTCTGTTGTAACAGCATCTCATGGTCAACTAAATATGAACAAAGCAAAAACTCCATATAAAACACAAAACAATAGACACTCCAAAAATTGTAAACATTTGCATTCTTTACATGTCGACTATAATTTAAGTCATCTTCAGAAGAAAAACTCCATATACAATACCAACACTATAGGGAGAGTAGAAATTGTACTATACCACAAAGTATTTCAGAAACCTACCTGAGGCATGCCTAGCATTCAAATCTCGTAATTCTTCCAGTTTCTCCAAGATGTCCATTTCCTGCTTTGATTCTTTAGTTCTATTTTCCAAAGCCTATAAATAAATTATTTATTTTATAAGAATTATAAAAGAAATTACCTAAACTAGCCACTGAATTACAGGGCTTGAAATAACGTTCCCGATCATGGTGATCGGCAATCATTCCGTCCCTGCTTTTTCAGGTTGGAAACCCTGCTTTTCCACCGATCATAAGCAATTTCTTGCCAATCATTGATCAGGAATTATTTAGCATTATATAAAGCAATTTGCTAAACCAAGCAGTGGTTTAGTTTTAAAAACAAGCAAAAATTCTCACCTTCATGGGATTGTTAAGTTCTTCTTCTTCTCGTTCTTTCTTGAGGCGTTCTTCCTCGTCTTCTGCTCGTTTGATTGCTTGAAAGTTCCTTGTTGCTCCCTTCTCTGCAACATAGTCTGTGTTCTCTGGGTCTGTCTACACATTGAGAAGCAAATATTCTGTTGTTGTTGTTGTTGTTGATGATGTGTACTAGCTGTACTGGTTGAAAGTTTGTCAAGAGCCCAAGTTCCTGAACCTGGGCTCACTCAGTGTTTATCAGTTTGTTGAACCTGAAATCAGTGCACTAAGCGTCGACTCACAAGTCAGGATACATTTTAAAACATATTCCATTTATACACAAACCTGGACTCATTTTTTTTATCAAACCTGGACTACTAAGCCTGGACATATTTTGGTTCCATTACATAAAGCTGGACTGTTTTCCTAACTTGGACTGATGACTGAACCTGGACTCACTACTCAACCTGGACTAATTACTACAGAATCTGAACTTGATAGTAGTAAATCTGGACTGACAATACCAAATCAATCATATCCTACCTTAAAAGTTATTTCACTGATACATCGAGGGCATCGGATGTAAAATCGATAAATTTCAAGACCCAAATATGTTTCAGTGAGCACTGTTTCCTAAAAATTACATTTTATTTTATAAATTTATGACAACCAGATATGTCAGAAATGTTCATATATTAAAAAATAAGGAATCTCATGTTATTCCCATCTTCTTACTTTTCTTGCATTGAACTTCTTTCCTTTATAAATATATTCCCCACATGTGCTACATCTAGAGATATTAAGATATTTTATTTTACAAGATTTGCTATACAAAACATAATTCATATATTTCATGACATAAAATACCTAAAAGCAGGGCCTGGCTACAAAGATAGTCTCAAATATAAACATGGCCATGGTCATCCCCAACATATCATAAATTAATAACACTTACACAACTGAAAATTGTCTGCCAATAAGGTACGTTTACACACTCACAATTAATCGGGCCAATTTCAGGTTTTGCCGAATGTTAATGACAAATGTTGTCAGTTGACAATGTTGCCAGATGACGTTAACAGCATATTTTTCAAATATAATTTAAAGCTGAATCGGCCTGACAAATTGCAGCGTGTAAACGTACCTTAAACTGAGTGAACTAACAATTAATAGTAGATATAGTATATACTATTGCGAATGCTATACCGTAAACCTCTGACTATAAGCCCCCCCCCGAATATAAGTCCCCTGTGTGTATGCCCACCACATGCACTAACACTCACCTCA